GAAAACGGCTTGTTACCAACAGTTAACCTGTCGTTAACGGTTACTTAAACAGAACGTTTCCACAGATCAACGGTACACAGAATTTGTTACGTACGTAACTTACGTTACTTACCTTATTTATCCGATTTGCGACAAAAATGCGAAGAAACACGACTAAGTGTAAAATGCTTAATGATCTGTACAGCACCAGTCGACAGCTCAAACAGTTATAACGTATTGTCTTAAACTTTCAGTCCCTCCCTCCTTCGCTGTGAAAAAAGCCACTCCACCCTCAACCCTCAGTACACACAAATCTCACCAGCCATTTTCATGTGACTATGTCGTCATCCCACTGTTTGTTGATTAGACATGAACTATGATGGAAGCCAGTTTCCCCCCGACTCTGATCACCTGAAATGGATTGTTTGGGGGTTTTCTCGTCTGATATGACTCATCTTATGAAAAAGGACTATCATTATCTGATGATGTGACTCTGGTGTACGAAAAATGAAACTGCACTGAGGATGGACAGGACTGAAACTGGGATATACACTCAGACATCCTGCTGAAAAAATCATAAGAACCCTTAAAGGTTCTGTTGTTTCCTGGTGGTTGCCAATATAGACTAATAATACAAATGGTATTTTGAGATTTCCTGATGGTTTAATATCACAGTGTGAAGGATTCTAATGGTTTAACAGTGTCCTGAGACTGATTCCAGATGCATTTGATGGTTTCCTAATGGGATCTAAAGCTGTCCTACTGGAAACTAGTGATGTCGAATGGTAACCATGAAGTCAGTTACCATTAGATAGCAAAACCACCAGGTTTCAGTCTTAATGGTCATAATAGTATTTTAGCAGGGTACTTCTTATTTCTGCAAACTGAAAAAGTTGTTGCTCCAATAACTTGCATGCCCCAATATATCTTGAGGTATACAGGTATATATTAGTGACTAAGTGAGGCCTTTGTTAGGCTTATCTGCTGTACCAAAATGCTGTCCACTCCCTTCATGATACTTCATATTTTAGGGGCCATATCCTACATTTTCTTGTATTTTTTCCCCTGAAGTCCACTTATGATGTTTGTGAGGGTTTATGTCCCAAACAGAGTCATATTTTATTTTCACCTGACCATTTCCAACCTCTCTTTATCCCTTGGAATTAAACAGGCTGTTTTTATTACAGGGCCTTTAAGGCTGATATATGCAATTAAGCTCTGTCCTGATTGGCTGCACTCTATTGCGCCTCATTCATGAAGCAGCCCAGGCTGAAACACTCCTTATAACTTCAAGATGGATGGGACGAGCTTACCCGCTGTAGGCTGAATAGTTGAAAATATGTAAATGTATTGTTTTTTTCTATGACATCACTAATAAAACAATATATTCAAAACAGGCAGTTTTTGCAACTTAGTTCCCATACAGGCTTTATGGAGTAAATGGTACATTTAAAGCTTCTGTTTACACACTACATCAAACACTGTTGTTGTTGGCCCTTTGAAGGGGAACTCCACAGAAGTTTCAAAATATCTTTGTAATTCAGTGGTTAAGATGAATAAAGTGAATAAATAAAGTCATTCATACTGGTTTGATGTGAAATGCAACATTCTGGAGAATCTTACTGAGTCAGAAGGTTCAGAAATTGGCCCATGCAATCATCTACACACACTGTTTTGCTGATCTCTGTCCTACCGCACAGCTCAGCGCTTCGCCAGTTCTGATACATTAATTGTGTCAGAGCAAGAGAAACATGAAAGTATGAAAGGCATTCTGACATAGAACAGCAGGTTCTTACAGAATCCACAAAATACATAGCATACCACTTGAGAGACTGTTTCCTGGTTCACAACATTGTTGGCAAACAGGTGCAATGCAGCTTTCAGCTTGTTAAAGCGATAATTTGTGTCTGAAGTATGAAGCTTCTTTAGTTTTCCACTGAGGCTATGAATCTAATGTGGCTTACAAGTAATAAGCATTGCACAAACTGCACACCATAATCATCACACACTTGCACAAAACGTCATTTTAGTAGGACAGTTCTGTAATTAAAAAGTTGCGATGTAGACAAAATGAGAGTGGTTTGTTGTGAAATCCTTTGTTCTATAGAAACTTCCTGTGTCAGAATTGCTCACACTGGTGATGATAGGAACCAGACATCTGAAGAGTTTAATGCCTTTAAAAGCTGCCTCACAGAAAGATATTAATGAAATGGTTATGATGCTGACTGATGCCTTTGAGACATTGTTTTATGTCAGATTGTGAGATTTTGGCCGAAAACATACATCATTTTAAATCCTTCAAGGCAGAGAGGCTTTGTAAGGCAAAATAGTCCAAAAGAAAATGTAATCTTTCATCTTTACCACTATTTGTCCACCTTCAACATTACATATAACAACCTTGAAGACATGAAGCTTAACTGGTCAGTTTGGATAGTAAATAAAATGCCTATATTTTAATTTGTGTTGTAGATATTGTGATCCCTGTTTCCCATCACTACCACTGTAAAGCAATCCAAGTCTGTCTGTTTCTCTACAAAGAACCATTTCACGTCAAACCACTTCGAATGACTTTGTTTGAATCTCAACCACTGAATTATTTGAAACATCAGTGGAATTTTGCTCTAAGTAATCTTATAGGCTTGCTTGTGTGTCTTCTGACGCATCCATTACTTGTTCGCAACACAAGCCTTATAACAGTACAAAGGAAGGAAGCAAACTTAAAAAAAAATAGCAAACAAGTCTTGGCTGATTTGGAGTAAGAAGACAATTGTGTAGATTTCATAATCACAACAACATACCAAAAAGTATAACACCTTCTTGTGACAAACATTAATTTGCTTTATTTAAAAGTGTTACTTTATAAATAGATGTGCTGGACTAAGGAAGGACTGGGGGGAGGGGATTTTGGACAGGATTGCAGACAGGAGTTTTGGAAAAACATGACTCACTCTTATCCACACAGATTCAATGGAACCATTTACTGTAAGAGAGTAATCAGTGATAGATGAGGCAGATACTGAGGTTTTTATACCATACACATGCCTAAACTCTCACACAAATCCTACATCTGCCATGAGGGACGATTCTGTTTGGGTTTGTAGGTGAACTTTATTCAGATCTGATAACCGAAGCCACACCACGACACAATTCAAAATCAGCAGTAATAAGCTGGTGATACTGGGTTCAGTACATGATCATAAAAGAAATGTTGTACACATATTGTGGGCTATAAGTAATGTTCATAATAACTCATCAGCTTCAAAGTCTAAGCAGAGGTTTGATGGATCATTATGGTGTGATAAACAGGTTTTATTAGTGGACGGATTATATAACTGTATTTTAGTCTTAGGAGTAAAAGTTAGGCTTAAATGAACATTGAATGGTTTCTTTTAAACTGAATTAAACTAACTATTAAGTATGTGTGTCTTCTTGTGTGTCAAATCACATGAAACAGTGCCATGCTGTGGTCATACAGAGTAGACCTTTTCTTTTAAACGCCTAATTTCCTACACTTTTTTGCATATTTCATTTTTTTCCTTAAGGTTCACTTATCTATAATGTTTGTTTGTAGGTTTATGTACCAAAAACAGTAATTCATTTTTATACACCAATTTTTCAAACTTTCTTTATCCCTTAGAATAATACCATCCTTTTTTTATCTGACATATGTGAATGAGACCTTCTCTGATTGGCGGTGCGACGTTCAAAAAGCAGTCCAGGGTGAAACACTCCTTATAACTTCAGTGAGAATGGGCAGGGCTAAACTACTGTAAGCTGAACAGATGGAAATATGTAAATAGATTGTTTTCAGTAAATTCAAAACAGGCTGTTTTAGTAACTTAGTGCTTACATATGGCACAAAGGAGTGAAGCAACTTCTTTGTTTCAGATTTATTACCAACATTAGATATAAAAAATCAGAAGACACGTGTAGGGCCACTGGTGGTTTTTGATGACTTTGCTTACATTTCAATGATTGAATTATGCAAAAAATTGGAGAAATTGGTGGAATTCCCCTTGCAGGATGGATTTGCAGTAATAACAATGACATATCTTCGCATAGCAGTGTTGCTGAGGTTTTTAAACACTGTGTACTCTTACTGACCACTTTATTAGAAACACTTACCTTGCTGGTCCATCTTGCTGGCATATAATTAGAGACAATAGTCACCCAAACCTTATAATCATCGGTCATTTCTCACCACAGAAGCACTGTTGGCAGGATATGTTTGGTTCCATTCTCAATCCAGCAGTGCCACTGATGTGTGGGAATTGTCCACCATCCAAATAATGATATGTTCAGTGGTGGTCCTGCAGTGGTCTCTTTCCATTGATGGATAGTGTGGCTGATATACTGTACCAGGTGCTTCATTAAGTACACCTCGTATCTACACTTCAGCAGCATTGCTTTGTCTGATCCACTCATACCATGTCAGTGTCACTGCAGTGATGAGAATGACCCACCACCGAAATAATACCTGCTCTGTGGTGGTCCTGGGGGGGTCCTGATCACTGAAGAACGGGTTAAAAAGGGTCTAATAAAGTTTGCAGAGAAACAGAAGGACTAAAGTCTGGAATTGTAGAACTACAAAGTGCTCCTATATGCTAAGTGGAGCTGATAAAATGGACAATGAGTGTACATACAAAGAGGTGTACTAGGTTAAGTGGCCAAGATGACTGAAACTGTTAATATCTCATCAACGAACAGCATTAGTATCTGTTTAGTAAAGAAAAGATTTCAATTAAGACACAGATTGAATTTAATCTTAAACCAAACAAGACATCAGTTCCACCAGCTTAAACATAATCAATAATAAATACAGTTGTGAAGTAATATATATTTTGTTCCTAAGTTCCTGTTACATCCCCTTTACAGAAAGGAGAAGTATATATAAATGCTATTTGAACACAGTGCTGTTATACTGAGGATGACTTTTCATTGTTAGTGATTCTCACATAACACTTTTGTTTAATAAATACAGGCATTATTTGTTATCTTTAACATAATTTACATATCTACTGCCTGCCACAGTGCTGTACTGAAAATGAAACTAAACCTCATGTCTGATTAGATTTTATTCCAAGTAATTTCAGACCATGTCTGTTGGTGCATTCATCATGAAGTATTCACACAATGGCCCTTATTCATCAAATGTTTATGAGCCCACATACGATGATGTTTGAACTACTCCGTATCTGATTCAAGAAATGTTTGTATGATGTGGAAACAAGTAGAGATTTGAGTGCAAATGATGAATCGCTTTAGTGTGTGAAATCAAGTAGTATCCTGCCAGTACCTCATTTACATATCATTTACATCAAGAATGCCCTAATACGTGCGGTAGGGACTCACTAAAATTAACTCGCTAAAACTAATAAATAACAATAATGTCTCTGAAAAATGCATGCGCTCATTTATGATCAGATTTGACCGTACACAGCTTTGGTGAATAAGGGCCAGTGTAAAGGGCAGCTGATACTGTCAAATAAAAAAAAGAAAAAAGAAAAAAACATGACAGAAATGATAAGCATTTTACTGCATAAATCCAATCATTTGCCATATATTTGTAATATGTATAATATGTACTATCTTTACCAGTGCGATCTTTTTCAGACTCCCATGGACGTAAGAGACCCTGAGCTGCTTATCTTCTTAAATCTATTGGCTGCTGCTATTGCAATATAATTTTTCTGCACAGAGGAGAGAGAGAGAGAAAGAGGGAGATTATAAATTTATAAATAGTAATTAACTTAATTTTTATATTAGACAATTTTATATTTAAAAAAATAATGATGTATCTACTTGTGCCTAATAGCGAATTACACCAATTTTTCAAAATGTCTGAATTATTAAGTCCTTCAGATATAAATTATAGTCATTCACAGATGTGAAATGATCCCCTGTAGAGGAACTTACACTGTCAGAATTGTTCACAATAGTGATAATGAGAATCAGATGTCTAAATCGTTTGATGCTTCTAAAACCTACATTACAGAAAGCTGTTACACTAAATGGATATGAATATGCTGCCTGGTATTTGAGACATAGTTTTATGAGGTTTTGGCCTAAAGAATATTTTTGATAATCTTTTCATGGTGGAGAGACACATGCAGGCAAAACAGTCCCCAAAGGAAACTTATTTTTTAGGTTTTCTACCATTTTACATCATCAACATTATATATAAAAACACTAAAGACACGTTTATGTTCACTGGTGGTTTTGGATAATAAATAAAATGGCTATATTTGTGTTCTAGTCATCTCAATCTCTGGTTCTCATCATAATCACTGTAAAGACATTTCTCTACCATGAACCACTTCACATCAAGCCACTCTGAATGACTTTGTTTAACAACTGAATTATGTAGAAAATTTGAAAATGTGGTGGAATTCTCCTTTAAGCTTTTTGATAAAATAACAGAATCTTTAAAAATCTTAATACCTTCAAGATTATAAAAAAAACATGTTAAATAAGTTTCTGAACTTTTAAGTGGAACTGTATTGCAACATGCTGTACCATGTATGATAACTCAAATATACACGGCCATATAGGATTTGAATTTTCCTTTAGCATTTTACCTTCCACAGCCGCCTGGCCATGTACTTCTTGAGAAGGACCTGTGACTTCAGGATGATATTGCTGCGCTTTGCTTTCTCTGATATGTTATTCAGCCATGGGTGCTTAAGACACTGAGTAGCACTGAGACGACCACTGCACAGACAGAAAAATAAACAGACCAATTAGTCCTATCTGACCAATCCTACATGCTGTCCTATAACACTTACAGAAGTTTTATTCCAGTGCTGTTAAAGCTCTGTCCTGACTGGCTACAACACTAGAGAATTTAACATTTTATTATTCTATTTTTTTGTGTCATTTTCACAGGTTGTAGTTTTTGAACCAGACCCACAAAACTTTGCAGAATTGCAGCACCTATAGGGAAAAAGTTTATCTTGTGCCTCTAGGATCAATTTCCTGTATGAAATGAATGGCAGAATGAACTGACACCTGGGATACCACAGCAAGGGCCTAGCAACACCTTAGCAACCACCTGGAATACCATAGCAATGACCTAACAACACTTTGGCAACCCCCTGGATACCATACCTTAACAACAACCTGGGATTTCCATAACACCAGCCTAGCAACATCCTAGCAACCATTAAGTCTAACCTCTCAAACTGCAGGCTTAAAATTCTTCCTTTATTATTCTACAATTTTTGTATCGTTTCCACGGTTTGCAGTTTTCGAGCTACAGTCACAAAACTTTGCAGGATGGTGGGGCCTAGGAATAGTGTTTCTTGTGCTTTTGGGACCAATTGCACATATGGTTTACAGTGGTTTTCAAACACTACTTTTTCCCATGGGAAATATACGGTAGAATTATGAAAAAAATCAAATTTAACTGTCACTTGGGATACCATAGCAATGGTCCAGCAACACCTAGCTACCACCTGGGATACTATAGCAATGGCACTTCAACACCTTAGGACCTGTGTTGAGAAGTCAAACTGGGATTTAAGGTGGGGAACACTTCTTTCATGTTTGCTAACAGTGTAGGAATAGAATTTTTCAATTTTAACAGTAAACATCATAATTATGCAAGTTAGCTGTCAAATTTAATTAAAATCCATTCGCATGTACTGATCTAATATTTGCTTTGGCTGCTGCGGTTGTGGAAAAATTACTTCACCTCCTTTCTTTGATCAGCAGGTTGGAGACAAAGTCTTTGGCCTCTGCAGAGACATGCTCAAAGGCATCTTCATCAAAGTACCTGCAAAGGAAAAAACATCAGCTAACATCACTGAGAGAAATTACTGATGACACTAGGACAGATTGGGTGTAATTTTTTAAAGGTGTAAGCATGATAATGTTTGCATGGTGGCAAATTTATTGTTGTTTTCCAACCTGCCTAATTTCGATCAGCTACAACAACACAGTTTACTTAATAGCTTAGCATTTTAAACTGAAAATTCTATGTTATGCAGCTGCGAATGGGATTTTTTTTTTGTTCAATACAGTAACAGCTGCTATGAAAGAAAGCATGTGATGTGATTCCAGAGGAAATTTTCTAAATAAGATCTCATTTACTTCTTCTGCATACAATTCAGTCTTATCTGAAAAATAACTGCATCAGGAAAGTGTAAGCTCTCATCATTTTCTTTCATAACACTGTTCTACGTCTCAGAAATCAGTCATCTATCAGTGCAGGAAGAGACGTCACACTTTCTCATTTGTCTCCAGAACTTCTTACAGTGAAATGTTCATGTTAAACTCCTTATTTCTAGTTTAGGAGAGAATTCAGAAATCTGTCATCCTTTATTAATGCAATATTGAGATATGATTTCTCCTGAAACAAAGAAAAACTGATTTTAAAAAAGACATTTTCCTTTGGGATGTGAATGTTTGAGCTGGTCCAAAGGAACATGTAAGACACATTTAACAGTACCAGTTGACCGTTAGCACGTTGTTGAGGGTCTGGCTGTCATCATCACCCAGGAAGGGAGAGAGGCCGCTTAGTCTGAAGGGAAAAAGAGAACAGCGTTAGTGCTTGTGCTGTGAACACTAAAGCTAGCGTCAAAACACAGACCGAAATCACTTCATGTCAGTCAGTCACTGTCTCTTTGCCAAGTGCAGAAACAAAGCATGTCAATCATGCCTCAGTGGCCTTTCATCTTCATCAACTGCCCTCCACCTCTAAACACTTTACATTATCAAAAGCAGTTTGTTCCATCAGTATTGAATCCTCAGCAGTTATAGTTTCTGATTTCTGTATGTAAAATGATCAATGAATTAAATAATCATATTAAACGAAAAACGCTTTTTTTCTTGTTTGCTAGTTTTTTACTAACACATATTATGCTTTGACCAAAACTACAAAAGGATTCCTCCCCTTTAAAATAAGTCACACTGGCATTTCAGTGATGTGAAATGGATCATGGACACCTGGCTGGGTGACCCTTGACCACAATTATTTTGCAAAGTGCTTCACAATACAGAATATTACCATTAAAAACAATTCAGAAATAATCTAAATGAGCTATATATACCTCAAACAAGCAGATACACGTAAACACCAGAAACATAAAGACAAATAAAACACATCACATCACACAATAGACATGGTCACAACTGATAAAGAATAAAAGGATAAAAGAATAAAAATGGTAATTAAATCAAACTACAAATGCACACTCAGCCCTTTAGTTTTGTCTTTGGGACAATGCTACTTGGACACAAGGGTTCCTACAGGGGAAATCTGTCTTTTTGCAGTCTGGGAGCAAGCTCTCCAGCAGAGCAGCACCACCTGGTGGTATAGGGGTAAGGTGCCTTGACAAGGGCACAAGCAGTTACATCCTGGGATTACAGTCCTGGGATTTGAACCCCCACCTTTCCATTTGCTGGCTCACCTCTCCAACCACTAAACTATCGTCACTGATAATGACCAAATGGCCAAATCATGGCCCTAGATCAGAAGAGCTCACATTCATGTATGTGAATGTGCACTTCTGTACATTTTAATGCAAAATTAAAAAAGTTTTTTTTGCCGAATTTAGCATATTGGAATAAATAATAAAACATAAAATGTGGTCTGTACAAAATGGCAATTTTTATATTTTTTGTTTTTTTCATACATTAAACTCTGTGCATTTAAATCTGTAAAAAAACTTATTTTCACTTAGAAAATGAACAAAACATGTAATTTGATTGGGGGTGTTCAAACTTTTAAATACAACTGCATATTACGCATATAAAATAATTTAGTCTGTTGTATTTAGTTTGTAGTTCGGTGAAATCACATATTTAAACTGATATGAGGTAATATAAATATGTAACATCCACAAAACCAGGGAGTCTGAAGTAAGACCAGAATGTGAGCTGATGACCAAAACATATTTGAAAATACCCCTGTATGGTAGATTTTTAATGCCACACCCCCCGTTGTGCCACTTCACCCAAATCTGCACAGATACACTCGTTTTTGACCACAGGAACAGCAAATGAGTGAGAATGGGAAAAAATTGCTTGCATCTAATTATATTAGCAATATGATGGTGTTATACCACTAAGCTATGCTTCTGCTTAAATGACAATAGAACCCACTGACTTACAAATTTGCATAATTGTGACTTACAGCATGTATGTGACAACTCCTAGAGTCCACATATCTGTGGGGAAGGAGACAAAGTCAAAGTTGACCACCTCTGGAGCCAGAAACTCAGGCGTTCCAAATGACACTCGCAGCTTCTCTCGTGGTTTGTACCTACAGCAGGGAAGAGCTGATCATTAAATGGATTAAACTTTATCTGATCAATGCATTTGCAGGCATCAGTTTCAGGGCTGCCAACCACCTGTAAATATACAGACAGTCCTTTCAAAATATTTAAATTTCACCTTGTCGGTAAATGCACAAAAGCTTTGACTGACCATGAAATAATGTGCCCTTTCTAACCTACTAATCTAATCTTACTTTCTAACAGACATCAAACTTGCCTTCTATTTACATTACTTATATGCAATGTATGATTATAAAAGCCAACAGGGTAGCTTTCTAGACAGAGTATCAGTGGCTGGTAGTCAAGTCTGGGTATTAATCACTATGACATAGACAGAATATGCAAAGTGAGGGGGCATTTATAGGACTAGTAGTATTAGTATAAGCAGTAGTAAAAAAAGGTCTCCTACATTAGAAAAATTACATAATTTAATCTTAAAAATGTAAACGAGTCATTCAGAGTGGTTTGGAGTGAAATGCTCCATTTTAGAGAAACTTACCAAGTCAGAATCGTTCATAGTGATGGTGATAGGAACCAGATATCCTTAGCATCTCTAAAAGCTCCATCTGAGAAAGTCATTACGTGAATTGGGTTCTGATAACATTGCCTGATGTCTGAAACGTTGTTTTATATAGTTTTGAGATAAGATTTTGATCTAAAAAGTTTTTTTTTTCATTCATTCATGGTGGAGAGGTACATGCAGAAGGTTGTATGCCAAATAGTGCCCAAAGACAACTTTTTTTTAGATCACTATTGTACCATCATCAACATTACATATAAAAAATCAAAGACACATGAAAAATGACTATATCTGCGTTGTACACCCCAGATTCCTATCACCACCACAGTAAGGAAATCAGAGTCAGTAAGTTTTAAACAAACTATTTTATATCAAACCACTCTGAATAACTTTGTTTACATCTCAACAATTAAATTACAGAGACATTTTGAAAAATTGTTGGAATTCCCCTTTAAGGTTACTAAGCCTAATTAATACTGATGGACAGATGCTTAGAAATGTACTGAAAATGCAACACTTTTAATTTACTAACTAAAGGAGAAAACTGTATTATGTTTAATCCATATACAAATTAGGTACACAATGAAGTACATTCAGTGCATCACTCTTTCACTGTATGTTAAACTGATTAACACGCTCACTACACTCTACCTTCTGGCAAGGCCAAAGTCAATGATCTTGATCTGATGACCTGACCGATTCACACAAAGGATGTTTTCTGGCTGAAAGCAGAGCAGGCTGTAAGAGATGCTGTAAAAATCTGTTTTCATGTTATCCACAGCTCTTGACAGCTATTTCTAGTAAGTCTTACCTTCAGGTCCAGATGAAGGACGTACATCTGGTGCATATACTGAACTCCCTCACAGATCTGCTTCACAAACACCATGGCGTCCACTTCGGTCAGCGGGCAGCTTTCATCCACGATCCTCTCAAACAGCTCCCCTCCCTCTACACTGCCAACATTAATTACATCCTTAAAACAGCTTGGTTATATTGTATTACTCACTAAAAGGAGCTACTTGAATCAAGCAAATTCACTGCGTCACTTTTTAATGCTGATATTGTCCCATGAAAGATTTATTTTTGATCTGATCAGAAATCTACTTTAGATTATGGTAAATAAACTTAAATAAAAGAAGCTGGGGTTAACTATCAACCTTCTGAAAAAGATTCTTTCACTTTAAAATGCACCAATTTGTTTTATTTTAATCTTTGCTCTTCTCTAGGCTGTGTTGATTTCTACTGTTTTAGTGTTATTTACTTTTCAGTGTTATTTACAGTTTCACAAACAGTGGCAAAAGCATAATTACAAAATAGGTTCAACTAAGCAACACTCACTACTCCAGTATCAGCACTACTTGGTTTTTGGCCTCGAAGGCGTCATAGAGCTGCAGTATGTTTGAGTGGCTCAACTGGTTCATCACCTGGATCTCATTCAATGCCATTTCCTGTCAAACATGGAAAGTTCCACAATTCACTTCTATTCATCTCCACACAATTGCAAGTTAATTGGCCCTGAAAGGATAACAGAGGTTCAAAGGAAGCAGCACTCACCCTCTCTTTGGCACTTCTTGCACTGATGATCTTTGCTGCCAGCCTTAGGCCGGTTTTAGTGTCTGTGCATTTGTGCACTTTGCCAAAACGTCCACTGAATAAACAGAGAATTCATTCAATGTATGATATGCCCTTTATATTCAAACATAACATTTACCCACCTTTGTCATGGCTATCATTGTCCCTGTAACTGAGCAAACCAAGCAATCATGCAGAGAAGTCTGTAGCTGAAAAGGCTTTAAATCACTGAAGACTGCACACTGAAAAAGATTATACAGTGAATTTACTTAATTCAAAAGTGTATATAATTTTCACATGAATAAAAATGTCACCGTCTGAACATAAAGCTTGCTTCTCCAAAATGATAAGATTACAGCAGAAGTAAAAAACATTTAATGTAAATTGAAATGTTATGTAAATCAATAATCATGAATTCACATAATTTAAATGCCAAACATTATATATGATATTGAAATCTGGCAGTGCTGATATATTACATCAATACAATTATTGTCAAAAGTAAGCCCCGTTTCAGTACTGCTTTAAACACACCCTGACCAACTTTGACTGTCGGGTCACACCTACGTTATAAAACTGGCCACGTGCAGTATAAAGGGAGGAGGGGACAGTGGGAAGTGGATTTTTCAATAGACTTCTGAAGTCTTCATTCCATAATCAGCATTATGCCAGTTCGCTATAGATAAAAATAAAGTCCGTTTTCTAAAATTGTGGTTGTTGTGCGCTGTGGCAAACTAAACAGTGTCAAAAAATCCATTTTTGCCATATGGACATTTGTCCTTTGAAAGTCTCTGGATTACAATAGGTAAATAATTTTCTTAATTACAAGGCTGTTAAGAAGTCAACATCAATGCAGGAATGGTAGCTTGTGGCCTGTACATAGCATTATTTGCATTTGGACTGCTAAAGTTTAAGCATAACATACATAAATTTGAGCATAACATACATAAAATTTTGTGAATATTGCTTTGTCTGGCAATAGGCTTTACTTTAGAATTGTAGTATATCACTGTTATTTTTTTGTTGTTGCTAGCTGTGTAGCTTTTAGCGTGCTAACCAGCAAGCTAGCTGTATCAGCAGTCATGTATTACAGATATAGTTTGCAACCTAAATCCCAGTCTGAACACAACATTAATTGTTAGGCTTTTAAGATATCAGGTTTTTTGTTATTTATTTAATTATTCTATTGCTATGCTATGATATGAAGGTCTTTATAGGACAGTCTGTTCACTCAGTGGCCAACTTTGCAACGTGACAGGGTAGATATTTCCAGCCATATTCCGACCCTCCCTCCAAAGGCTCACCTAAATTTAATTTGAGCTAAAATAGTAATTAAATGGCCCTTTTACCCAGACAGCAAGCGTATAACAGTCCCCTGGCTTGATAAGGCCAGCACCCCTCTAACTGTAAGCCACTGCTGGTCCACCCTCAGATTTACCAGATTACTGTCCTGCATGAAAGGTTTAACTAGTTTTTGACAGATTTTGACTGCACATGGGACTTATGTTGGAAAATACTACCAAGACAAATATTACAAACCAGGCCTAATATAAACAGATTTTGTTGAAAATGTTGTTGTTGACACTGTGCTAGATTGAGCACAGCTGTATAAATGATTTTATTTGTGATATTGCTGTAATAATTGTTTATTAAACTAATTTATGAAGGATAACCAAAGAAAGAAGTTATAAAAAATAAGTAAACTGAACTGTGACAGGAAAAAGAGCAATGAAAAGGCATCTTTTGGCATTTTGTCGAATACTTTGCTGAACCACCAGTGGGCCGCCTGGAAAACGCTGAGCAAAAAGCCAGTGGTCTGTCGGCTTTGCCTATAGCGAGCTAACAGTGGCCCACAACCCTCTTGCTATCTGGGATAATGCTGTTAGGGACTCCCCCCAACTGGGAAAGGGGAGGCCAAGTGGACGAGGGCTTGTTAAAACCAGTGCTGAAATGGGGCGGCAAGTTTTTACAGTGCACATGCAGTGCTGTAAGTTTGCATGCTGTTAGTTTTGATAATGAAATAACTGTAACTATAGTTACCCTCCCAGCACTTCTCTGGTGTGGATGCTGAAGGAGTCGCACGGTGGACTGGGCCTCAGAGACACACATCTGTGTGGGAACGGGGCAGGCTGAGGAGGAACATCATCTGTGCACAGCAGGACAAGTCAATCTTAAATTTAAGTTGACTACAAACAAAATACGAATTATTTTGCACTTTAAACAACTCTTAAGTTAATAGGAAGAAAGGAATATATATTTTTTCTAAATTCCTGTGTAATTAAATCATTAAGATGTAAACAAAGTCATTCAGAGTGGTTTGATGTGAAATGGTTCACTTTAGAGAAACTTACCAAATTTACAGCTGAGTTTGTCACAACACAGGTACAGCCATTTTATTTGCTAAAATGACCAGTGAACTTACACGTTTTCTACGTTTTTATATGTAATATTCGTAATGGTAAAATAGTGGTAAATATGGAAAAAAAAAACTTTCTTTGAAGACTAAAGTCTTCTCAAAACAATCATAAAACAAAATCTCAGGAATAAGGCACCATATTCATAACCATTTCTTGTAATAACTTTCTGTGAGGGAGCTTTTATAGGCATTAAATGCTTCAAATGCCTGGTTCCTATCACCACCACTGTGAACTCACTAAGTTTCTCTCTGATAAGTCTCGGGTCACTTGAAGTATTAGTAGGCTGATATTATAGAGACTTGAAATGTAATAAAAAAAAGTTGCTTTAGTAACAGGTATGAATTATTCAGTAACTATAAAACTAACAGGTAAATCATGTAATGAGAATAATTCAGCCCATATACAGATCCTTTCATGACTTGATAGCAAGTTGTATACGAGGCGATCTGTATGAGCTATCATTGTAATTGCTAGCCTTTCATTCCTTATCAGCATCCTGAACTTGTTTGAAGTGTTTGTCTTTAGTAGTGAGGTTTTGTGAAAGAACAAAACGAGACGGCATGTGGGGCATGCTGACACCTAATCTATAACTCTCCCTCTGTCTCCTTGTTGTGCCAGTGTATGAACAGCTGCAGGTGATGTGTAGAGGGCAGCGATGTGGTCAGGGGGAAAAAGGATTACCCTGTTCTGGATGCCGCACATCTCTAAGGTCAGTTTCAAAAAGGCGACCTTGGATATCGCATCTTTAATGCATACACGCACGTTTACCCAGCACATATACGGCAATCAACCAGTCATCTTGTGTGATATAACTACCTGAAAAGCAGTTTGTGAAAGTAGAAAAATCTATAAAAAATGTAGACTGTAGTTACAACTAGGAACTTTATTTAGACAGACTACATTCCTTGTTAAACAACTATGGCAGATACTGTAGCTGTATAAGCTCATTTATTTCAGCATCACGATTCAAGTCCATTACAAGCTATTACAGTGCACAAGAAAGTCATAGAGAGAAATCCTGTGCTTTGATCAGGAGTAAAATGTAGAAATGCTAGCTTGCTTTTCAGAAACTTAAAGGGGAATTCCACTGATTTTTAAAACATTCTGGATAATTAAACTTTTAAACTCTTGTAAACAAAGTCATTCAGAGTGGTTTGGTGTGAAATGTTGAGTTCTAGAGAAACTTAAGAGTCAGAACTGTTCACAGTGGTGGTGATAGGAACCAGACATCTGAAGAGTTTCATGCCTCTAAAAGCTCCATCACAGAAAGTTATTACATGAATTGGTTATGAATATGCTTCATGACGCCTGTTTTATGATAGTTTTGGTCTAAAATGTATTTTTTCAAAAAGGCAAAAAGGACATGCCCCATCACCAAAAAGTCAGGACACTGTGCATAAATAAAAACAAAATGCAATGGTGTGTAAATCATTTAAACTCTATATTTAATTGAAAATAGTACAACATAGGACAACATTTCAAATGTTGAAACTGAGAAATTTTTTGTTTTTTGAAAAATATGTGCCAATTTTGAATTTGATGCCAGCAACACATTCAAAAAATTGAGACGTGGCAACAAAAGGCTGGTAAAGTTGTAAAGTGCTTAAAATAAACACCTGTTGGTTACTTGGCAACAGGTCAGTAACATGATTGGGTATAAAAAAAAAGTTAAACTCTAGCATGCAAAGAAGAAACCATATATAAACAGAATCCAGAAACGCTGCCGTCTTCTCTGGGCCCGAGCTCATTTAAGATGGAATGAGGTGAAGTAGAAAAGTGTCCTGTGGTCCAAGGAATTGAAATTTGAAATTCTTTTTGGAAATCATGGATACTGCGTCCTCCAGGCTAAAGACCACTCAGCTTATTATCAGTGCACAGTTCAAAAGCCAGTATTCATGATGGTATAGGGGTTCATTAGTGCACATGGCATGCGTGACTTGCACATCTGTGAAGGAACCATTAATGCTAAACGATATATAAAGGTTTTGGCAACATATGGTGCCATTCAGATGGCGTCTTTTTCAGGAAAGGCCTTGCATTTCAACAAGGCAATACCAAACCACATTCTGCATATATTACAACAGCATGGCTCTTTAGCATAAAAATCTGGGTGACCTACTTGTGGGATTTTTCATTATTTTGCCATCAATATTACATATTAAAACTCAGACATGTGTATGTTCACTGGTGGTTTTGGACAGTAAATAAAATGGCTATATTTGTTTTGTAGACCACTGTAAAGAAATGAGTCAACAAGTTTCTCTACAATGAACACTTTCACATCAAACCACTCTGAATGACTGTTTGCATATCAGTGACTATTTTTTAAAGAAATTTTTACAATGCAATTTATAATTACAGCAGCTTTTGAACACTCCAGTCATTTACCTATCATTTTGAGGCAGGTTTTGGGAGGTGTTTTGGTCTGGGCTGTGCTTTGCTCTGCTACTGCTGGACTTATCTTGATCTGTATTCCCCCAGCTACAGTGCTAGTGGGCCTGACTGCTGCTCCCGGCTTCACCAGTGGTGGTGCTGCTGTGTGACTAGAGTCGGATTTCCCTCCAGTGCCCTGAAATCTGTACAGCAACAAAAGGCATCACTTTAGTAAGTTAGCAGTAATTTTACAGACGAAAGAAAAATGCATTCTTAATTTAAACGTGATCTTATTCTATTTTTCAACAATTTCTGTTAGTCTATTCAACCTGTTTGCACAAAGTAAAAGGCAGCTGGCATTTTCAAATAGTGTAAAAGCAATAAAATTGGAAATACATGCTTTAAACTGCCAAATAAAAATGACTATTTCATCATAAAATGTTTCTTACAACACTTCAAAACTGGCAGCTGCTTACATTGTGTGGCCATTTCTTGACAGCTGGACCAAAAGAACTGGTCAGGTCAAAAATAACTTAGAATAAAATACGGTTACATTAACTTACATTACCCTTTTTTTTTCTTTCTCTCATTAGGTTATTGCTTTCAAGATATCAAATTAGTTAAGACGGCAACAATATTTTGCTGTTAATTGCTCACGTTACCTTTGTAGAGACTCAGGACAACTATAAACATGTTTCAGTGAGGAGCCGGCTGTCGTTGCCATTGGAACCATCAGGCCAGCTGTGTTTGGAGGAGATAATGTTGAACTTTTGGCTGCAGGCAGTTTTGTTATTTGAGAATTTGTGGAAGACTTGTCTGCGTTTTGTGATGTGGCCCCTGAAGCTCCCATGGTGGTTGTCACTTTTAGAGGTTTATGGCTTGGTGCTACAGTTACTGCTGGTTGATTGTTGGACATGGAGGTGACTGAGGTTGGTGCTGTTGTTGTCAGAGCAGAAGTCAGTCCTGCTGTCTTAGGCAGATGATTAGGAGCTGGTGTTTGATCTCCTGCTACTGTAGTTTTTGTGACAGTGTTGTTTGACCACTTGGAGTCTGTCATTGGCAATACTGGAGATAATGAATTAGATGAAGACTTTCCCATGCTTTGGGATGTTGCCACAGGAAGACCTAAAGTTATTTTCTGAACATTGTGGATTGATGGTGGTGGTGCCGTTATCTTTGTTACGGTGAACTTTGGTGGATTACTGGACACAGCAGTGACCACAGTTGGAGCTGCTGTTGTTGTTGTAGTGTTGTGAGCTGCCAGCACAGCTGTTTTTGGCATCTTCTGATTCGACACCAGTGCTGTAGATCCTGCTAATGCTGTGGTGTTTAATGAAGATACAGATGTCTTAACAGGGGCAGCCACCTGTGTGGTTTTTGCCGTGGGCTGATTTTGTGATGTTGAACTTTTTGTTGTTGCTATTTTTGATACAATTTTTGGTGGAAATGTGACCTTCGTTGAAGTCCCTGCACTTGTAGGAAGAGCCACTCCTGTTGTCTTGGAACTTTTTTGGCTTGAAGATGCTATAGCTCCATCCATCTTGGCCGCACATGGAGGCTCATGGTTAGACTGTGATGCTGCCAAATATGGTGCCACTGCTGACAATTCTCTGTTAACTTCTTTATGTGGCTGAGGCTCATGCTGACCTTTCACTTCTGTCAGGTTAACTCTGATTGGCTGCCCTTCTCCTCTCAGAGCCTCCCCTTCGCTGTCTTCAATCAGCGCGCCTGCCAAGAGGAACAAATAATATCTGCAGCTGGGATGTAAAAATCCATAAATGAATCTTGATGGTGGTGCTGCTATTGCATTGATTTTGGAATATCAGTATCAGTCACAATCAGTTATAAAAACCTTTGAATGAAGCATGTGCACAGTTTGGTCTGGTCAAAGTAAGATTCTCAGGCTATTTTCAAACATATACAGTACTGTGCAAATATCAGAGAACACATTTATTTAGTTTTCAGACATGTAAAAGCAGAAAACAGAATATTACACAGGAGCCTCAACAACAAAATATAATTGTATACATACAAATCACATTTTCAGTATTTATAATGTCCAGTCTTTCCCTTTATTACAGCTTCCATTTTTTTAAGAGACTTCTTTCAGTTTTTCAAAGAAATACTCAGGTCTATTTTTCCACACCTTTTCACACCAGTCTCACGTTGAGTTTTCTTCTCACAGTGGAAAGATGGACAGATGTGGATGTTTTCAGATGTGAAGCAGCTTGATTTTCTCCTCTCTCTCAAAGATGAAAGCTTTAAGTGCTGTTTATCTGAAGGGGACAGTTTTGATACCAGGTCTTGCGCAGTTGTTAGGAGTCCCATTTCATTTTCTCAATATTTTTAAATAATTTTTGGACTGCAGTTTCAGAAATTCCTGTTTTTTCATTTATTTTCCTTTAATTTTGTCCTTACTTATGCAAGTGGACTATATCTCCTGAAAAATGAATAACATATTTAATGACCATTTTGACTGGAAATAAACAAAGGGAGTCTATGACATTTGCACAGTACTGTATACAAAAAGGCTTGCAGTATTTCACCACTGTGTAAATAGTTACTTTAGTGTATTCAGTGCATTTTTAAGGACAATTTTGAACCAAACCAAAATAATCAAATAATCACTTGTTTTCTAAAGAATCATAATCAAATTGAATCATTGCAAGATCAGAGATTTTTCCCCCTAGACTCTTAAACATAAAGATTTCTAAAATTGGTTCTTGGTTTAGATCTACAGTTCAGTCGCACCATTACACTACGTGTTAGCTATCAGTGATTTAATCTGCCATTTATACCCCTGAGATGACTTATGGGTCTGAGTTACAGGGGGTGGGTTGAGGGGTCAAAAAATAGTTCTGTGGTTAAACATGCCTGTCAGTCAAATTTATGTCCATCAACTCTGAACACCTCAGGAATCCTCTGGCCCAATTCCACCTTTCCAAGCTAATGCTGCCAGACAGACATAGTGCTAATGAACAAAGTAGGTACCTGTTTGACCTTTCCCACAGGGCACATTAAAAGCATGCTGGATTATTTTCTCTCTGGGCACGTCCAACCGCACATACACTTCATCCTGAGGTTGAGGAGACAACAGATCAAACAGTGAGAAACGTATGCATCTATTACGACTCTAAATAAACTTTATTTACAATGAGATGTTACTTGAATTTTTACTGGTTATAATGACAAACAAAATGATGTTTATGACAGACACAACAGGGCTCAACTCAGATTTCTTTATATAGTGACTTTTGTACAACATCACAACTACCTTACTAAACAGACAGTAAATAAACAATGTAAAATCAAGAGATAGCCATGCAGTCTTCATTGGCTGGCAGCAGAACAGATCAGACTGAAGAGCTCAATGACTTTAAATATGGTGCTGTCATAGGATGCAGCCTTTGCCACAAGTCAGTTTGTAAAATTTCTGTTCAGCCAAATATGCCCCAGTCAACTGTAAGTCCTATTATTGTGAAGCGCCTAGGAGCATCAATAATTCAGCCGTGAAGTGCTTGACCATGCAAACTCAGAAAGCGGGGCTACTGCATGGTGAAGCACATAAAATAGCTTATCTTTTGTTGCATCAGTCACAGCAGTGTTCCAAATTGCCTCTGAAAGTAACATCAGCACAAGAACTGTGCGTCAGCAACTTCATAAAACAGGTTTCATGGTGGAGCAGCTGGAACACTGTTCTCTGGAGTGACACTTCACTATCTGGCAGCCTAATGGACCAATCTGGGTTCGGCAGACATCAGGAGAATGTTTCCTACCAGAATGCATAGTGCCAACAGTAAAGCTGGGTGGAGGTGGGATAATGGTCTGGGGCTTTTTTTCAGGGTTTGAGCCCCTTAGTTCCAGTAAGGGGTAATGTTAATGCTACAGCATACAAAGACATTTTAGACAATAACTTGCTTCCAACTTTGTGGCAACAGTTTGGGGAATGTCCCTGTGCACAAAGCGAGCTCCATTAAGACATGGTTTGATAAGTTTAGTGTGGTGGGACTCTTTTGACAGAACAGGCACAAATTCCCATAGATACGCTCCAAAATCTTGTGGAAAGCCCTTCCAGAAGAGTGTAGGCTGTTAAAGCTGCAGTGGGGGGTCAACTCCATATTGAGGTCATGGCTTTCATTCAATAAGCTCATATAGGTGGGATGGTCAGGTGTCCACATATGTTTATGCATATATAGGAAGCAAGGGGTCAGCTGCTCATTAAGTTAGGATTTAAAAGTCCTCTGAAAGAAAAAATAACTGAATGAATGTCTACTCACCACTGAAGTCCTCACAGGCAGAGATTTCCTTCTCTGCAGGGCGATTGCAGGCACAGACATCCTGTCACAAAATCTGTCTTCTAGACCTTTCATGTTTTGGGGATAAAGCAAATAGATGGCTTAATGTGACTTCATACAAGATATATTTACCTATACTGTCATACAACAGCATGAATAAAGTAAATTTATCAGTCCTTTAGCCCCAGTGTGTTTACACATCTTCACTAAGTAAACAAATTGTGTGTTCAAAGGAGAACATTAGCATGTTCTGCATACAACAGTAAGTTGTAGCCTCAGCATATCATCAGTGTTGTTACACCCTTTTTGACGCTTATCGCATTGTATGAGGGCAAGTTAACCCCTTAAACTGCAGGTTTATTATCAAGCTATTAATCTTAAAACTTATTATTAAGCAACTGCAATAAATGATCCAGTAACTGTTATAAACTAATAGGCAACCACAACAATAATACAAAAAAAAAAAATTCTCTTTTACAGACACTTTAGCGCAACGATGCTCAAACTTTTTGTCTTTGGGAGACAAAGTGTAATGTTTGGGGTGGGCCAAGAGCCAAAAAGACAAAATAATACACAAATAAAGAATGAGTATGTAAAAACTTTGGGCATCCCTGGTCAAATCACATTTTGCTCATTTTTAAGTGAGTATAAGTTAACGCACAGAGAATTGACTCTGACTTATTTTCACTTAGACAATCGATAAAACGTCATTTGACTGTGCGCAAAGATTTGCATACTACTGCCAGAAGGTTTCAAACTGAATTTTTAAAAATGTAGTTTTTAACATTACACTAAATTTTGTTAGTAAAACTATTAAAAATATATTTTTAATGGAAAATAACATTTGAATAAGTTCCATATATTACAAAAATGTTTGATCTCTCATTGGGTGAGGGGTTGGGCCTAGGGTGGACCAAATCAAATGTCCTCAAGGGCCACCTTTGGCCCACACTTAGGGCAGACCTGCATTAGCAGATGTTTGTTTTAACAGTCAGATTATTGCACTCAATAGGCAAGGTCATTGATAACTGCAGGAAGTTACTAATTACTTGCTTATTATTGAGCGTCAGCTTTACAAAAAATCTGGGTCCAAGCCCCAGTGAGCAAGCCAAGGGTCACATCGGCATGGAAAAACTCCCTAAAAGCAAGAGGAAGAAACCTTAAGAGGAACCAAGACTCAAAAGTGGAACCCATCCTCCTCTGGTTGATGGATGGCAAACATAACACAACAAAAGGAAAATAAATAGAGAATAAGATTTTACAATTACTTTTCAATATTGAAGACAGAAAAAAAGAAACCAGTCTATCATCAGACAGAAGTGGTTAGATTAACCCCTTAAGTGGCCAGGGTCCACCAGCGGGCCCAAAGCCTTATTACACACTATAACCTAACAACAGCTCAGACAATTTTCATTGACGTTCCTGTAGTTACTAAATAGTAAGCCTTAGTATGTAATAAGCCTGAGATTTTAAGGGGTTAACCAGTGATAACCAATGGCTATTGTTAAATATTATGCTAGCATTCATAAGTTGACATCACTTGTCATGTTAATCATTACTGTTATTTAATTCAAAAATAACTTGTACAGTCAAGACTGAAGTACTATACTGAAAGCTACACAACAGATTTTAAGATGTTTTATTAAATATTTGAATTCCTAAATAAGTTATGTGCCTGAGATTTGATAAATTTTCAATATAATTTTTCAGTTGTGAGGAATTCTGGACGTTCTTTTAAGTATAACATGCTCATTGTTGTACAGCTTTCTCAGGCATTGTGGAATCACATAAACCTCTGTTCATCATTCTGAACCTATATTTTCTACAGATTTCTACAAATTAGTTGAAACCTTATATATAATAGAACCATTTTATACATGTATCTGCAACAAGTTTGGTTCAATGTTATTTTTAAAAATTATTTCCAAATGTCTAAACACTATTGTATGTAGTTATAAAAGTGAGGAATATACAGACCCTTGCAGTTTAAGGGGTTAAAAAGTGCACTGTTGTGTATGCCTAGCTGTGTGCAGGAAAGAGAGCATTATCTTTTCAATCAACATACCGCGGGCTAGCTCCTCCAGTGCTGTTCTCACCTCCGTCACTTTCCTCTCCAGAGAGTCAAGGAGTTTTGCCTGAGCTGAAAGCTGGCTGGCTGTGGCCTCTTGCTGCTTACTGTGGTGGCCACAGATCCCACACATGGGGCAGCCTGCTACAGTGCTGCGGGACAATAACTGGTCCATTTTACGGTGCAGGTCATCCATTCTGGCCTCCAGGGTCACCAGGTCATGGGCAGGAGGAGCAGGCCACTTCACAGAGCGCATGCTGCTGGAACAGGGAGCAAGCTAGAAAAGCAATGAAGAAGTAAACAGGTGCTAGAGACGAGAAAGGATCTTTTTAGCTTTATAGCCTGTAACCTTTGAACCCTAAAAGCATAGATTTTCCAGCTTAATTGTACAGGGACGTGTCACTGAGAAGTTACAGGCCATATTCTTTTGACTTTTAAAGGTAAACATACATGTTCTTCCATTACGATTGTAGAAGAAGTCAAGAAGTTCTCAAGTTCTTTTTTACCTGCCAAGGTCATTCGTTGTTACAAAAAGATCATAGCTGAGTTTGGAACCTTAGAGAAAATGATAGTAAAAGAGCACCTGCATCTCAAAATAAACCAAGCTGATCAAGCTTTACAGCAATAAATAACAGAAAAGCTTATAAAAACCTAATCCTTCATCACTTACCTGCAGATACAGCAGCTAGCCCAGTGTAAGGTCCTTATGGTGCAACTCCAAGAGTGAAGAGTCCAATGGACTGTTACTGGTGGCCTCCCTGCTAAAGCTGCCAAAGGAACAGCCTGTGAGATTCCTCCTTTATCTGAGCCTTGTGGCCACCACACCAGAAATAGGCAGGCCCAGCAGAAGGGGAGGAGGGGAGGTGAGTTTCGAATAGTAACCGATAACAAAGGTATGTACTGGCCTGGCAGAGTCAAGTAGTGGGGCATGTAATTATTGTGAAAGCAGTTACATTACCAAGTACATTACAGCTCAAAAGTAGAATCAATGTTTTCTATAATACGTGCCAAACATGGTCCTTTGGGACAATGCCACTGAAGAACCACTTTTAGTTTCTTTGAGAACCTTTCAATATATGTTTTTCTTCAGCACTTAACTCAAAACTCTCAAAAGTTTAAAAAAAAGTGGTTCCTCTTTGGCATCATTACAAAAAACACTTTTGGCAGTGTGAACAGTGCCTTGCAAAAGACACCACCTTAAAAGTTATCAACATTGTCTGGATTAACAATTGCGCATTTTAATGAACATTTTCAACTTAAATGGACCATAATCAGATTCTAAATGTAAAGGTGCAGTGTGAACGATTTAGTGGCATCTAGTGGTGAGGCTGCAGATTGCAACCAACTGAATACCCCTCCCTCACTCGTCCTTTTCCAAGTGCGTAACAAAACCTACGATGGCCATTAGGTTTTTGCCTCTTTAGTAACGATAATTCACACTCCCTTACTTTTTCTAGTGCTAAATATTAAGTGTGATCCTACATTTGTCAAAATCTGATAACACAAAAAGGTTAGCCAGTACCAGCAGCAACCACTGATTCATCTTCTTTCTACGTTCCTCCAACCACTGCTATACACACACACAAACATTTTCTAAACCACTTATTCTTCTGAGTTGCAGGGACCACTGCTATAGTGCCACGAAATTCAAGCTGCTGCTTTAACATAAAAACGCTAGCCAGCGTTTCGTTTCTCCGTTCTGGGCTACTGTGGAAACATGGCAGCGAAACATGGCGGCATCTGATGGAAAAAAAACTCACTCTTTATGTAGATATAAAGGGCTCATTCTAAGCTAAAAAAAGACAATGTCTCATAGATACAGGTGATTATACACTAATGTAAACATGGGTTTGTATATTATATTCCATTTCTGCTAATAGATGCCTCTAAATCTTACACACTGCACCTTTAAAATGGATCACTGATCAGGCTGCACGAGAAAAGAAGCCTGCAGGAATGATGACTAAAAACGTAGTAGAAAAGAGATGAAGTCATAAAATGCATACATAAGAAAAAGGGAACAAAATATCTGTCTTAGATATTTCCTGCAGTGGCCCCAGTCAACTATTGACCTCAAGTCCTATGAAAATCTGTGGCACTGTGTGAAAATCTGAACAACCTGTTCTAAATCTGCCAAGACAAGTGAGAAAACATAGAGTGTAAAGCTGATACATATTTAAACCAAACACTTAGAGCTCTTATTGCAGCACACTGTTACAAAAACAGTCATTTTTACTGATGCTTACTTTTGCTGTTGGCCCATATCTGCATTATTTTATGTACCTGTACAGCTACACATTTATGCAATTAACCAACTGTGTTCAATGCAGTGCATAAAATTACGCATATATGGGCCAACAGCCTCATGTAATGTTCATATCAGCCATCAGAACAGGGGAAAACGTGATCTCAGTGATTTTCACCATGGCATGGTGCCAGATGGACTGGTTTGAGTGTTTCTATAACTGCTGGTCTCCTGGGATTTTCATGTATAGACTTTACAGTTTACTCAGAATGGAATATAAAGAAAAAGCTACAACTGAGCTACAACTGAGCTACAACAGCAGAAGACCACTTCAGGTCCACTTCTGCCAGCCAAGAGCAGAAAGCTGAGGCTGCAGTGGGAACAGGCTCGCCAAAACTGGACTGTGCCAAGACTCAAAAAACATAGTCTGATCTGATGAATCTGGATTTCTGCTGAGGCACACATATGGTAGGGTCAGAATTTGGTGCCAACAGCATGAATCCATGGACCCAACTCGCCTGATGTCAACAGTCCAGGCTGATGGAAGTGGTGTAATGGTGTGGGGTGTTTCTTGGCACATTTTGGGCGAGTTAATACCAATCATCGCTTGAATGCCGCAGCCTATTTGGGTATTGCTGCTGACCATGTGCCTCCATCCCTTCAAGGCCACAATTTACCCATCTTCTAATGGCTACTTCCAACATGATGATGCAGCATGGCACAAAGCAAAAGTTGTCCAAACTGGTTTCATGAACATGACAATGAGTTCTTTAGCTCCCAGTCTCCTGACCAGAATTTAATAGGATGTGATAGAACAGGAGATTCATAGCATGAATGTGCACCTGAATAATCTACAGGAATTGCATGATACAGTCATGTCAACATGGACCTGATTCTCAAAGGAATGTTTTCAACATCTTGTGGAATCCATTCTACAAAGAACTGAGGCTGTTTTGAGAGCACAGGGAGGCCCTACCCAGTATTAGAACAGTGTTCTAATGAGGTGTTTGGAGAGTGCATTATCACTTTCTGACACAGCAGTGCTGCTGGAGTTTTTAAACACTGTACACTATTAGACACATCTACCTTGTTGGTCCACCTTGTAAAAGTAAAATCAGAAAGCTGCTCCAGAATATGTGATGGTCATCCTCTGGTGCTTCAGTGGTCACAGACACTGTTAGCTGGATATTTTTGGTTGGTGGTTTACACTGAGATGTTTAAAATGAATGTCTTGAGCTTAAATAAAGCAATGAGTCATGGCCTCGAGTGGCTTACTGCTTGTGTAAAACGGCGGCCAACAATTACTAATAATCGACGTTAACAACTATTCCGCCAAGAAATGTAGTTCCTTGACTATGGTATCGTTACCACGCAACCATGGACTGCTGAATGAGGAGAAGAACGGCCGGTCACCCATCACTGTATATTGCAGTCATTTCGTGATCTTTAATTTTTTTGCAATGAACATATAACATAGCACTGTTTACTGCAAAAAAACCTTCGTTTATAAATCTTTGGTCACCAAACTACCACCGCGCCAGTCCAACGGCTCCTCCTTACCACGCTGGGGCTGAATCTCAAATAACTCCCTGCTCCCTACTTAGTGCACTGCTGCATAGGGAATTAAATACTGGGTCCTGCACCACATCGGTGCATCAGCCACATCCATCTAGTTAAGAAAAAAAGTTTAAGCCCTTCATTTGAAACAAAAACGGGTTCTTACTTCATCAGTACACTCGGTGTTCCATGTGAGCAGTACTACAGTCAAAGATTATTCCATTAACAGCACAGCACGTGGTGCTGTAATAGTTCAGCTGTTGTGATGCAGTCATTACATATATATATATATATATATATATATATACACACACATACATATTTATATCATATATATATATATATATATATATATATCTGTCTATTGATATAATAGATCTGTCTATTGCCAGTGCTACATATACCTGCAGGTAAATTCATTTTTTATTCAGGCTTACAGCATGTGTGTTCTCAATAAATAGACTGATACGTATTCTTCGGTTTAATTTTGGAAATTTTAGATGAATTGAGTAAGAGTGATGAATAAAACTATCCAGAACGTCAATCATTTTTCAAGGCAGTGAACACAAATACTAAACATCATAAATGAATAACCACATCATTCATCACATAACAGCTTGTTGTTGTTACCTAAATACTTAGTTATTACAAATGATCTTTTTGAGTGGAAGTGCGCATTGCAGCTCACCAACTATATGGCTTAATAAATTAATCGATACCAGACATGTCAAACACAGGTTTAGGATTTCATTAGAAGCTCACAATATTTAGCCATTAATACAACTGAGGATGCACTACCTCAAACATCAAACATAACATCTGCTATGAAACTGAGCTAAGTGTGGTTCAAAACTAGTATAGCAACGAGACAAAGGAAAAAGAAATAGAGAAATTCTGTTTAAGCCATGTTCGTTAATAGTTAATAATGCTGACTATTTTAAATCAGTGACGAATCTGCAACATTACACTTTGCTGGCCCAGTTGATTCGAGCTGGATCAGGGCTGCCCCACAGAAACAGAGTGTTTCAATATGGACCCCAGAAATGGTGAACTTATTTTCCATAACATCACTACAGACATCAACAATCCCAACATTACCAGGATGTACACTGCAGTGTCCAAGCTTTGCTCACATATCACATTATGTTTGGCAACTGTATTGGGTGTGTTTATTCTGTTTACTGAAAAGAGGAATACTGTAATAAATAACCACTTTTTCCCCCAAAAAGATCAAACACTAAACTATTAACAGTTTTAGCATCTGTCTCTTTTGTTCATCTGCTCATTTCACACTACAAAAATACAACCTCTGAGACAGGGCAGTGTTCATCAGCATTGTGTAGGCCTATTAAATCTGGACACAAACAAGAGTTGAACATGTTTCAGCAAGGAGGTCACTAAACTATGTTAGACACCACTAAGACCAGAGAAAACATTGGCTTTTAGGAATCATCTGAAATTGGGGGGGGAGAGAAGAAAAACAAACAAAAAAAAAAAAACCTACTACTCATTTAAAAAGACATTTATTATGTAAGAGAGAAAGAGAAGAGACAGGAAAATGAATGAGGCTACATTACATTAGGAGTGACAGAAAAGATATGATACAACAGTTTACAAAATGAAACAGACCAGATGTAAAGAGGTATGCAAATACAAGTTTGCTAGCAGAATATATAGCCTCAGAAGATAAAAAAAGTTAGGCCTTACTATGCATGCAATTAAAAAAGCATTACTTTACAGCCTTGCAACATTTATAAGCTATAAAAAGCCAAACAAAAAACACATTATATACAATTTAGCCCCAGGAGTCTTTACATGCGGAAGCGATCAGAGAAATTTGGTGACTGGGGCACTGTCAGAGTGGCCTCACTGTGCTTCAGCTCAACTGGTTTGTAGCGCCGGATAGGCTGGGCTTTGTGCACCTGCAGACATCAAAGACAGATTAAAATCAAGGAAGACAAAGATAGCTATTCAGAGATGTTTTAATAAGGCTGCTCAAACAAAACAGCCAGACCTCGAATATTTGGTCAAAGTGGCTTTTCTGTGGTATACCTGTTCTTGTCGCAGTCTGGAAATTTCTTCCTTCTCTTGCTCCTCTCGTTCTCTGGCCTGCTGCTCTTCCATCTGTGTCCTCAAGGCTTCCTTCTCCTTCAGCGCTCTCTCAAATTCCAGCCGCTCTTTAGCCCGCCGCTCTGTTGACAGCTGGAAGCCTTCAGGAACTGCAGAATGGGTAGTATTGGCTTGAGAAAGTGCCAAAGATTTTTTTTTTTAAAAAGTTGACCAAATAGAGCGGTCAGGTAGAGAAGGAAGTTAACAATAGTGGTGAAAAAACGGGAAGAAAGCACAATAACAAAGTGGAGAATTAGCAGTGCAGCTAACGAACCCCAGATAAAGCAGTGGCAACAGTGCTGTTAAAGAATAAGAAAGTTAACCGCAAGCCCTTGTGCATGGCCAGATGCGTTAAACCCAACATACCCAAGATGGAACGATTTTCTTTCTTTGGTACAAAAGGCTCTTTGTGTATGACTGCATTGGGTCGCGCCTTGAAGCATGCAGCATCAGCTTGCTGTTTCAACTCCTCTTTTACCTAATTCAAAAACAGGAACAAAGAAAAAGTTATTTATTGTGTCTCAAGATCTAAATGCATCTACTCTTTAGAATTTCTTTTAAGACAAATCTAAGTGGGAATGACATTGCAACCAAGCAGCTTCAAAACTTACCACCTGCTCCCAGCGTTCACTTTTTGTAGCTCCACGCTCATCTACCATCAGCCTGAAAGGAGCAGGTTTGGTGGGCTCAACCACCTTCTTTTCTGGAAGATTCACCTCATGGAAGTCTGGCAGTGGCCTAGCCTTGAACTTGGGCACCTAGAAAACAGGAAGAGAAAGGTGGGACACATGGTTAGGCTTTGTATGTTATGCTGATGCCAGGGGTAGGCAAAACGCAGCTCTTTTACTGCCCTTTTGCAGTTCCACAGCAGAACTCTATTTTTTAGGTAAAAGTAAAATAATCCTACTTTGCAGTAAAATAAAGCTCTGCCGATCGTTCTTGGTTTCAACCAAAAAAAATGGTCTTAAACGCTGGAGTTATGTATAACTGCTAATTCACCCTTTAACCCTATAGATTGGCATGCAGACTGCTGATCACACAATGACAGACAATAGTCTTGCCCAGCTAGTAACTAAAAAAAAAAGCAAAGAGAAAGACTTAAGACAAACATCGATAATTTGGAGACAAAAATGGATAAATGGATTGCTCTGCATTTATAAGCACTTGGCTCGTTTACGGATACGTTTAACCTGCAACGAGAAAATGTCAAACACTAAAGTCACAAAACTGAAGTCAGCTTCTCGCTCGAATTTTCCTGTTCCACCTTAAACGCAACAGTTAGCTACATAGTTAACTTCTTTCTGGCACCTTTTAAGGTGGAACAGAAACATTCGAATGAGAAGCTGACTTCAGCTTCATAAAAAGTTGAACGTTAAAACATTTACAAGAAACTGTTCTAGTTTTGCAGAAAAGTTTCCTGCGGAAGATGAGAGAAAAGTGGCTATAGCCAAGCTAAAGCTTAAGTAGAGCAAATTAAGTCTGCGTTTGTTATATTTTTTAGCCTACAAGTGTACATTAGCACATACTGAGACATATTTACAGCCAAGATGGTGAAACATCACTTCAATAAAATGTACATGAAATGTGGCTCCTAAGATGGTTAGACATTTCTTGAAACTTGACAAAATGGCTCCATAACATTAGGGTTGCTGGGGAAGATGCATTTTTCTCATCTGCCCAATGTGCTTCCTCAATGGTTTGAAACAAGCTTTAAAACAAAACCCCACACAACCATTCACTTTGTACCTCTTCATGTCTCATCTCTTCCAATCGCTTCTTCTGTGCTTTGCGCTCCTGCTCACGCTGCTCGAACGAGAAAGGGCATACTTCTACGTGGTTCTTCACAGCAGGTTTGGGGTGAAAAGGTAAGTAGTGGGGCACAGGAAGTGCCTTCAGTGGAGCTGGTGGTTTCACCTGTCCACACACATGGAAACAAAGGGAGAAATTCAGACAACATAAAAACTCTGTCCTGCATCTACCTGACTATTTAGAAGCTAGAAAAAACATGCATGTCAGCTCATACCTCTTCTGTCTTGCGTTCCACACGAACACGGTTTTTGAGTGCAAATGCTGGAGATTCAGGGACTGTAGGATTCAACACTTTCTTCTCTGGAACACCCTAAGTATGTGAAAAGTAAAATGCACAGAAGTAAAACGATGTATCAGAAGCAATCAGGGAACAAAAGACTAGTGTCATGCTTTGAGATTAAAGTTTGAGTATCTTACCACCACCTCTTCCAGAATACGGGTTGGCAAGGGTCTGGAGTGGAAGGTGTGGTCCTCATGTTCCTCTGACTTTTTGTTGGCATGCCGCTCCTGCAGACGTTTCTCCACCTCCAGCTGGAAGCCCTCTGGGCGGGTGGCTTCCTTAGGAGCCGGCTTCTTAGGAGCCACGGCCCCTTCAAGGATCTTACGGTTAAGTTCTAGGGCTTTAAATTTAAACCTGAGAAAAGACGACAAGTTGATGCACAAGGTTCTGCTTTATCAGTATTTTCCACAATACAGTGAATCTACTCGGCTCATGACGTAGGCTCATCAACTGCCTAAAAGACAGCCATGTATGTACAGCGTGATCCTCTAAATGTACACTGATTTCGGATATGGAGACCAAGTCACTGGTACATACTGTCGCATTTTTTCCGCTTCTTCAGCCTCAGTCTCTGCAGTGCTCTTCACCATGACAGGACGGCTCCTCTGGCGGGTCATCAGCTGAGGGGTCTGAGGATGAGTGACCTTAGGCTTCTCAGTCTTCACTGGTGATGGACCTAAATACGAAGTAAACACACCCAGTGAAAGAATTTCTCAAACCAATTTCTAGCTATTAAACCAACACAACACAAAACACTGACAACAATTACAGATTTTGGCTTTACCTTTCTCCTGACACTGGCGGCTGCGTAGGTGATAGCGGCTGGGAGTTCGTTTCTCAAATTGTTCAATCTGCTGGGCCATGGGCACATAAGAATCAGTATCCTCCAGCTTCCTTTTGCTGCCAGTGGAGAGGTTGAAGGGCTTTGGGATTGTGGTGCCCTTAGGGGCCTTCAACTAAGACAAATAAGTTTTATTAAGAGCTTGCAGGTCATAAATGGTGCTCCTGCCTGCTTTGATTAATGTTGCATGATCATAGATGAAAGATGGTGTTCAAAGTTAAAACCATTTTACTCACAGGGGAGGCAGGGTGTTTGCGCAGTTGAGAAGTAAAGTCAATCTCTTTATAAGAAGCCTCAGTAGCATCGGTCTGGTTTTTCAGCCTATTATCTGAGCGGAAGTTAAACTCTTTGGGAATGGTAGTGGATAGCACCTGCTTCTTTGGAGGAAGACCTACAAAATCAATAGCAAGTAATGCTTAGCAGATCCTAATCCAGAGTCACAGTGTGGGATTTCACTGAACACACAAACTCAAACATCCATTTCATTCAAAGAGATAGATCAAAAAATACTTGTAGATATATGCATTACATTATCACTGGACCGCTTCTCAGTTTCCCTATTTAGCTAACTGCTCTCTCATTTCCTTGCAGACTTTCAAGCTGCTACAGGTTTTTTTGGTTGGCAAGCTACTGTTCAATAGTCTCTAAGCATCATCTTGGAATTTAACACCTGTAATAGGTTTGAAAAAGGACACTTCAAGACATTTTATGGGCTTTTTTATCCATTTTAAGAATAACACATTTTAGGGATCCATAGGAATCCTGATAAGAACAGAGCAGGTCATGGCAACACGCATAGTATGTAAAACTGTTAAATACCCAATACTATTAAAAAAAAACCCTATTGAGCATATGAAGCCTGGTACAAGTTCAGTACTAGGAAAAAGCTGTATACTCACTGCCAGCCAGTGCTGCTTTGTAGCTGGCCTCGTTCCTCTTGCGCTGCTCAGCCACCTCTTTCTGCAAAGCCTCAATGCGCTCCATCTCCTGTTGCTCTGTGCTTCTCTGCCTGCAGGTCAAAAGTCAACTTGAGTAATGACATACCAATAAAGCCAATCCACAGAATCATGGCTACAATCATTTCCAACTCTACATTAGTAATAAGGTGACTTACTGGTTAGCAGAGGAGGTAGATGCAGATGTGGCATCAGAGGCCACATGTGGTTTGTTCTTTAGCCTGATGCTGCTCCTTGCAGCAACAGCACTGCGACGAACTGATCTCTGACCTGTGGAGCTCCTGTAGAAAGTCCAGAGCAGTAATCATTTGGTGGCACAGGAATCCACAAGGTTATTACAAGGCTGAAGTGGCACAAACCCAGTAAAACAGATCTGATTTTTTTCTGAGCTGTGTGAACAAGTATCTGATCTCATTCGAGAGGATTTCATGTATGTCTCAGACCCATGCAACTGCTATACATCCAATCAAGATGGTCTTCCCTATCAGAGTGAGTCAGCAGCTGGCTTACATCGTAAGACACACACGTGGGTTCTGTGAGGACAGGGGTGTGTTCACATTACCAATAAACAAAGGACCAGACACTTAAACATAATTGTGAACAGTCAAAGCAGAAAGACTGGATATGAGCAATAAGGCTTGTATGGTCAACACAGATCAAGTGTCCCAAAAAACTCCCACCTCACACACACACATACAGGCATCAAGTCTGTGAGACTATTCCACCCGTGATGTCCCACCACGTAATATCACCACTGTGCATCAATTCTGGACACAGATTAATGGCTATTTTTTTTTTTTACCTCCGTGGGGGACGGAAAACAGTCCGCTTTGGTGTTGGAACAACTCTGCAAGTAGCAAGATGAACTACTGACTGAAAGCCCAAAGGTAAGTCAGTTAAACAATCTGAACCCCAGATGTGGACTCACCTCCGCTTCTTCTTTACAGGTGGTGTTGTAGGAGCTTGAGGTCGCTCATTTTTGGCCACTGGACGCTTTGACACCCTGGGAGGAAAGTAAAAGAAATTACATGAAAGACACAGACAGGTACAGAAAGACCTCAGTCAGAAGCCTGCATATCAGGGAAAAGAAGGAGGCCAAATACATGCCTCTCATTTCCAGAGATTTTAAGAACTGAATCAGCTTGCATATATTATTTATATATTTATTTATATATATATATATATATACACACACACACAAACGATGTTGAAATTAACAACATATACTGAACATACTAGTATTCAAATGTTTGGAGTCAATGTTCAACAACATAACCAATTTCTATTATCCAATTCAAATATTCCAATAGCTAGTCCTGCACAATGACAGATCTAAAATAATTAGCAGGGCACGAGGAAACCATTTGTTTAAAAAGTATAATTTGGGAAATTCCGTTCTAATTAAAATTCATATCCAGAGCTCATTTCAAAAGTGGAGATCTAAATTCAAGACATAACTTGCTGAAATCTTGAATCTACATGAGAATTACTCTACATTGTTAGCTCATTTAAAATAGAATGCTTACAAATAAATGTCCAACTTTATCAGTAGAATGGTTTTTAGATTTGGTTTATACTAGAACTATTCATTAGTTTAGAAGCGCTGAGGTTACATGAACAAAGACACCGATTTAACTAGATTGGTGCTGAAGATGTCTTCATAGCACAGCACTGGTTTTAAAAAATTGAATGGCTCAACCTATTGCATTAAAAAGATGTGACAAATCAATTATTTATAACTGATCATTGCAAGGGCACCCATGTTTACTGTACCTGCGTGGCTGTGCTGGAACGCCCTTTCTTTGACCCTGACTGGGAGCTGCAGTCGGCCTGCTGTTACCCCATGAGGTCACAATATTAGATGGCTGCTCTGTGGCTGTATTATCTGGGCCACCTGAGAGGAGAAGCCAAAAGTTAACAAAAACAACAGCATAACCATTTGGTAGTTTTTAATATGCATTACATACCATGGCAAATCTAGTTTGTGAAACTGACTAGGATTAGGTAAAAGTTTAGCTACCTACAAACCTTTCATCCGCTGATGTATAAACCTAGCATCACCAACAAACCAGTTTCTATACTACAGTATTTAATTCAAATAAACCCAAGGAAACAACATCACCTGTGGTTGATGTTTCTTCTTTGACCATAGGACAAACTACAGCTTTTGGCAGATCATTTTGTGTACCATCAAAAGGTTTTGGCACCCTTGAGGGGGTTGCGAGCTGCTCACACAAAACTTTGCCGTTTTTAGGGGCAGCCATCAGATCTAAAGGAAAAGAAGCCATAAAGCCAGAATATATATTTTATTACACCACTAACAAAAACCCTGTATTTTATTTTGGCATAAACTGAGTAAGTTAATGTTAGGCTGCTGTTTACAAAATGCTTGTAGATGACTATGATGCAATATTGTTAAAACTATCAGAATACAGAAGACGAGTGTTAGCTGGACGGAAATAATCTTTATTGAAATTGCTCCAACAATGTCACACCCACCGAGTGGTTCTACCAAGTATGGACATATTAGTAACGTTATAGCTTAGCATATCAAATATTTCGTTGTCTTTATTAATGTTATTTCAGTACAGACTCAGTTTATATTACTATCTAGCTACCCCATATAATGAAATTTATGCTGTCAAAACATACTAATTATTTTTAATCCTGGTAGCATTTTCTGATAGGATGATTTAGGCTACCAAAATATCCTACTTGTTAGTTTTAATGCTGGTAGCAACTTCGTATAACGTTACGCTGATGTATACTACCAAGTACTATCAGGTACGGAGCTACCTTTAAAAATACTCTACGGTAGGACATTTCCACAAGGTAACTTAACACAATTCGCCAAAACAAGATAATTTCTGAGTAGATTTGAACACACGACTCGGACAAAGGCTCGACTGCAGAGACTCCGATAGGCCTGCGACTGCATGTAGAGCCTCATTTATTGGGCAGATTTTTAACAAATTAGGCAAATAACTTAAACGAGCTGTCAAGATAACAGTTAGTAAAGCTTACCAAACCACTGATCGGCATTATCTTCAGGATCCAAGTCAAAATCGTCCATCACATGAGACGGGGCGTCGAACGAATAAGGATCAGCCGAGTCGCCTCCCTGCTGCACGTCCATCTTCAAAAGCCTGAAACGCCTGCAAAGCCATCAAACAATAACTCAGCTAGTAACCCCGAGTTTATATTAAGTAATGCTAATTTGTTAACCAAGCCAAATTAACACTAGGCTAATAAACTGTTCCACTAAAATGATTAACTTATGTGTAACACTTCGAAACTTCAGTTACAACCAGCGAGCTACAGCTAACGTTAGCGAGCGAGGGAACGGAAGCGATAACCTAACGCTTACCAGAATAAACAGCTAACAAACCTATAAACATCGACAGCTAAACAGCTTTCTCAGTTCTGCATACCCTTCAAAGCTGATATCCTCTCTTCCAGACAGAATATATAAGTAATAAAACTATGAAAAAACGCCAAACTTGTGTGTCCAGCGCGTCCAAGGGAAACGACTTCAGTGGACGGCAGAAGAACGTTTGAATATCAGCGCCGTTGGCGTTGCGTTTACAAATCAGCCAATCACGACGCAAACCAGAACGAACTCGGACACCCATTGGCCGCATTGTGTCTGACGTAAGAGCCGTCGTTGTGCCACGTGACTGGCCTTTTTCTTAACTCGGGGCCTTTAATTTCAAGCTTAACAAGTTTGTTTTTAATGAATGTACAGTGCAGCGAGTAGTCTGATCAGTATTTATTTAAGAAAACAAGATAACTGCAAATGAATATGTGTAAGACACCGAAACAATGTGTATGCACGCTGATACTGGATTGCACTTAGTTTTCATAGCAAATTTGAACACTACTGCTATCTGCATATCGCCTCACAGTAAAACTCAATGCAATTACATGAATTGTACTTTACAAGAAATACTAAATCCATAACATTTAGCATGATGCCAGAGATTATTTCCCTGATAACTAGTTTATTATCACCGGCGCAAAAAATCCATTATTTAATTTATGCAGATCAACAATGATTTATGTTGTTGATTCTCACCCACTCCATGCTGACTGATGTCAGATATAACTGCGTGATTCGTCATTGTTATACTCTTAGGAAACAGGAAGTTACTAAATTAGTTCCTTAAGACAAAACTACAACTGTAAGCACTGTACTTTTTCAGTTGTTTGCATTTGGAGGGATTTTAAAGGTTGCTATTATGGTTGTCACTTCTATTTTTCATTTAAATCGGTGCTAAGTGGTTATAAAAAAGAAATGTTCGTTCCCTCTAACATAGTACAACACATCTCTTATTGTCTTGTTTCTTCATATCTATCGTCAAGGGCTATCAAAAATGCCTAAAAAGTGTTCAGTGAGGTTACATGAAACAGTGGAAAAAAATCTAGCATCAGATTTTAGTTACATAGAGCCTTAAGAAAAAGGCTTTATATTTGTTTGGTTGTGTTGCGGTATATTTTAACATTTAGTAGTCAAAATAACACCACATGCTCGTTTTGGAATTGATGGAAAGAGGTTGAGAATTGTTGTTTAGATGGTTCTTCAAGCATCATCTGAAAACATAGTCTCACCATGGTTCAAATGCACCCCCAACAAAAAATAAAATCTGTAGCATCCAGCGCATTCACACTGCCTAGCAAGCAAGCACAGTTACTGAGAAATAAGGCTAATGAACTCACATTTCACCAGCTTAACTGATAAACATTAAAAGAAGATACTGTATGTAAATGCTAACTGAAATGCAAACAAACATCTATTTTGAGTTTGGACTGCATTTTTAAGGCATAAAGGAGCCAGAACATTTGTTATTTCTTCTGATGGACCAGCAGCGTTTAAACTTGTAAAACACTGAACATGTAAAACCACATACCCATATAATAAACATGCAGGATTCAACTAGAACTTTGACAGACTTTTAATAATATTAAGTGCAAACATGATTTAGAGAATATAATTGTTATATAATCAAAGTAGTGTAAAAGCCATAACAAATCAAAGATATTGTGCAAATCAATGCTACAATATAAGAAGGCTGGACCCCAACATGCTATCCTTTGCATGAAAGTAATTTTCAAGCATCTTAAATGGAGAAAAAAATAAACAAAGAAACAATGCAATACAAATCAAAAGGCAACAAAAGTATGTTAGATGTGTACAGTACATATAATGAGAAATGTGTGCTTCTTTACAGTGTTCTACATCTTCTGGATCATGACCTGGAATTTACCTGAGGAGAGAATAAGAATAGTGAGGACATTTATAGTACCTAGATGCATAAAAGCAGTTAAGTAAGCCAGTGGTCATCAACTATTTTCCTGAGGAGGTGAGTTAGGGCCTAAAGTTTAACACAACCTTGTTGTCTACTAAAAGTAACTGCTGAAGGAAGTGGTGCTACACAATATATCATATGTGCAAAATATTATCATATCATCAAATGATTACAGAGAAGATTACAGAAAAATTGATTTTTTCTGTAATTTGTGCTTAATATGACCAAGGACATGAACTAAGAAGGTTTGATTTTAAGTTACAAGGCGCAGTGCAATCGCAATATGGTATTCACAATATGATATTTTTCCCATACTATGCAGCCCTGGAAAGTAGGCATCCAGGAGAAAAGTTGATGACCACTACAGTAATGTGTGTGTAGGTAAAACAGATCTCCATACAAGCTGGCATGACAGACACTTCAGCGGTGACAATACTCTTCACACCAAGATTGGACAGTCCTCCTCTCACCAGGCCGCAGGTGAACGCCAAATACTGCAGATGAGGAAGCAAAGAACATAAATTATCAATCACTACCTTTTCTGTAAAATCATGGTATAATAACTGTACATGTCTCTAAAAACAAAAATACAAGAATATTACACATCCAGGCCCAGATTAGCAGCAGATTCGAGTCTTAATGTAAAGTATACATGTGTACCTTTGGGGCATGCTCCAAATACTGTTTACCAGAGGATAGTTGGGTCAGCAACCGGAACTTGTTGTCTTGTAGGACGTAAATACCCTGAACAACATATAAAAATGTTACATACCACATGGCATATACAGTATTGTGCAAAAGTCTTGGGCATCTAACTGTTAAAAAAATATCTCTGGCAATAAGTGTGTTTCTGCCTGCAAACTACAAAACAAAAACCAATAAAGTGAAAAGAAACAAATATTCTTTGTATTCAAAAAAGTAGCTGTAGTTAGAAGAACACTGTTTTGGTTCCAGATTTTACCTCAATGCCCCCAGCCATTGCAATGATTTGTTAAAGTGGAATTCCACTAGTTTTTTTGTGCAGATAAATGACAATAATTTTGTGCATTTTTGTGCAGATAAATCTTTTACATGGAAACAGTTATTCAGCGTAATTTGATTTTAAATGTGGCATTTTTGAGAAAATGACTTGAGAGTCAGAATAGCTCACAGTCTGAAGGGTTTAGCTTCTCTAAAAGCTCCCTCACAGAAGGTTGTTACATGAAATGATCACAAATACGTTGCTCAGTTCCTGAGACATTGTTTCAAGAAGGTTTCCTAAAACATATTTTATTAAATATTCATGGTGCTGTAATTGTTGTGCTATTTCACCATCATTAACATTACATATCAAAACTCATATAGGTTCACTGGCAGTTTTGGATAGTAAATAAAATGACTATATTTGCGTTGTAGACATCTATCAGGTACCTAAAATGTTGCTCAGTACTGTATATTAAGTCTACCTTGTTAGAGGGAGTGCTAAGACTGCTATTTGATTGAGGCACAGTACAAGAAAGCAAATCAGAACAGAGCAAATTTACATATATCAATCTTCAAGACACAGCGAAAAAAACAGACTGTTTAATTCTATGTGATAAAGAGAGATTGGAAAATTGCAAACAGTGAATGATGACATTTTTGGTACATTAAACCACACATATTTAGTGGACCTTGGAGAAAAACATAAAATGCAAGAAAAATGTAGGATATGGGCTCTTTAAAACAAAAAAAGGTGATATTACCTGTACATATTAGCTTCCATGAATCTTTTACATGAATCTATCACCAAAACTGTAAAGAAATCTGAAATTCTCCTTTAAATTCCACTCAGAATGTGACAAACACAAAGGATGCTTAAAACAACCAAACTGCACTTACCTGATGGTTCGTTCTCAGGTTATCAATCTGCTTCTTAAACACACAGGTCCAGAAATCTTTGCAGATAAACTTCATAATATCAAGCTCGTCCTTAAAACGTGCCGTGTCTTTGGTGAACCTATGAAAACAGTAATCACAACAGAATTCAGTTTAAATTTCATCCAAAGTAAAAAGTGAACATAGTAAAAGGTTTTATTTGTCAGTATCTTCTTCTAATATCCACTATAACATCCACAGAAGTGGCCAACAACACAATAATGTCCGGGTTATCATGACAAGTTAGAGAGACTGGAAAAGTCAAAAATAAAATTTAAACGTAAAACAAATGAAACTAACAAGACTAAATGAACAAAGTAAAGGAAAATAAAAGCTCAATTAAAAAACAGACAAAATAGCAATAAAATACGTAACAACGCCCAATAAAGAAGTACAAGAACCAACTAAGATAACAGAGAATATGATAAACTAAAAATCTGCACCACCAACAAATGAACTTACTCAAATTGAATAGAACAGTAAACTAAGAATAAAAACATCAGCAGGCTGAGTGGAGGAGCTCAGAGATTAAAAGATAAAAAAAAACCTACATTACAGGGACTGCATAGGAATTACTGAACTGGCCTGTCAATTCAACACATATTGTCCCATAGAGGGGGTTTACATGCACTTAATAATCTGATAACCGCAGAAAATCAGAGTTTGTCAGTAATCCGATCAACGTGTTTACATGCACTTGAGTAATCAGATAATGGGAAACTCTATTGTCTGCCTCATGTAGACCTGATCAGATTTCTGCTCTGCAACCGGCCAATAAACTCACAAAAGAAGACGTGACGTAAGCATAATGGAAAACTCTTTTTAAAAAAACATCGCGCCACTTTACCTGAAAATATGGACGTACATCATCTAGAAGATGAAAAAATATTTAAATCCTTTCTTTCGTCAAGCATGTAGTTTGTTTCAGCATCGCTTCAAAAGTGTTTTTCTGCCATCTAGCGGCAATGCTGCTTGCTTATACCCGGTGCTGCTTTTTTTAAATATGCACAGACTGAGAAATACGAAAGAAATCCGAGTAGGAGTTTACATGTACTGAGAAATCTGATTACTGAGCTACAATCCAGCTCTCTTTATCAGATTTCTTAATCGTATTTCTAGACCTTACTCCGATCTAAGTAATCAGAGTATGCTGTTTACATGACCATTTGAATAATCAGCGAACTCCGTAAGTCAGATTTTGGTCGGATTATTATGTGCATGTAAACTCACTCATAGATGCTTTCCAAAATGTGGATCCAAACCTCTAATGAGCCGGCTGAGGGTGGCAGGGGCAGGAAAACTCTCTAATAGCATCACGAAAAACAAATGAGAGAAACCAAGACTC